TGTAGTACAGTATTGTTTCTGTTTGCAATAGCCCTACTGTGCTGTAACAAGGTGTGGTAAATGGGCAACTCTGGTAACGCTGCCCTCTCATTCATTGATCTGCTAACCGTTATGCTCATGTGTCCTCTGATGATAATAGCTTTCTAGGATTAAACATTATTTGAATAATTGGTAAAAAAAACAAACAAAAAAGTTAAATATCTTAACCCTATTGTTACACCTACCTGAAAAACTAAAAAGCTTTTTAATTTCTTTATTTGTTCTTATTTTATTATTAACTGCTTGGCCTCCTTGTCATTTTTTTTTATTCAATTCAAAGTTTTAAATCAAGCTATCTCGTGCTACTGCAACAAAATTACCCAGCTGTAAAATCAAAACTTTGTTTAATTACCATTATAACTAGCTATCTCACAATGTTTACATATGAATAAAAGCCTACATTAAAATCTGTCATATAAATTGGTCTCTTCATTAGAAATTAGCCTACTGATTGCCACCATTGATAGACACATTTCTTTTTATAATATTAAAAATATCTGTATGACATTATATTCTGCAGTTCTTCCCTGTTGTACCGAATATCTATACTTTTCAAATTATCATATCGAAGTTAGAAATTCAAATATTGTGACAAAATTAATTTTGTAGGGTGCCACAAATTTGTTAAAATTTCCAAAGGGTGCCGCGACTAAAGAAAGGTTGGGAGACACTGATTTAGAAGATGAAAACCAAACAAAGTTAAGTCTGACACAGAGAAAGGGACCGATGGCCGGCCAGCCGGGGTTCGTCTTTATTTAAATTTATGTGTGTGTACTTCTGACATGTTTGGTTGGTAAAATAAATGTTGTAAATTCAAATCAGAGCGTCTTCCGTGTCTGGAATGGATGTATTCTTGAGTCTATAAGGTAACAATAATATAATAAGATAACTAAAATACAATTTTCATTGACTAAAACTAGACTAAATGTCATCAGTTTTCGTCGACTAAAACTAGACTAAAATGCTCAGACTTTTAGTTGACTAAAACTTGATTAGACTAAAAAGAGTATGAACGTGACTAAAACTAATAAAAACTAAAATGACAGTTTCACACAAAGACTAGACTAAAACTAAAATTAAAACAGGCCGCCAAAAACAACACTACACAGTAGAGACGAAAATGTGAAATAAAGTCGTTATTTCTGTTTTCTTTGCGCAAAAAATGTATTCTCGTAGCTTTGTAACTTTACAGCTGAACCACTGATGTCACACGGACTACTTTGTCGATCATCTTGGTACTTTTCTGGACCTTGAACGTGGTAGTTACCTTGCTGTCTATGGGAGGGTGAGAGAGCCCTCAGATTTCATCCAAAAATATCTTAAATTGTGTTCCGAAGATGAACGAAGGTCTTACGGGTTTGGAACAACACAACTAACCCTTTAATATCCATTTACCTCAAAAATCTTTGAATGGGCATGACGCTGCTCTGCTGGAGGGGGGTTGCCTACTCTCGGTTGCCAAGAATGCTCCAACTACATTGGATTTTAATTCATGAGGAATGTCCACAGTTGCCAATAATCATGACAATTTGCTTACTGTATTCAAGCAAATTGCTGATACATCTACTGTCAGAAAGCCTATTTTAGGAACTAGGAACTAAAGTTCATTTCATGTTTCCTAGAGGGACGATTATTAGTGTTACCTGCCAGTGAAGACCGCTGTCTGTCTTTGTTTATGCTGCTGCTATGTTTTCTGTAATGTGTTCATATAATACAAGTAAGTCTGAACACTATTGTATGCAATTATTATATATTATGCATGCTTTTGCTATTTCTGATGTTTATATTGTTCGTGGTGTTCCAATTGATCGGTTATTTGCAGCCGCGATCTGCCGCGATGGTTCTGCTGAGTCATTATTATTACGTCAGCGCTACATGTAGCCGTCACGAACTGTTTACTTATGTAATTACTTATACAAGCTGGTATTACTCGGCCAGTTATTGTTGACCATATTGTCACTTTGAGTACAGATATGTCTGTTAAATATATTTGGGTTATATATGCATATTTGCTGATAACCACTATTGGTTCTATGCTATTATATGATGTCAGTAGATGTTAATGTAATTTATAAATCTGTTAATAGTGAGTAATTTGTAATTATTTCCCTTGTTTCTTTGTAGAACACATCTCATTTCATACCAGATGCATATGCAGATGCATATATTGGAGTAAAATAAATGTCTCAATCTAAAGACTTCTCCTGCTCTCCTGATTCTCTGACCGGAATCTGGTCCATATTTGGCCGCCTCAACCAGTTGTAATTTAAAAGTAGTAAGGTTTGCTACATCTACCATGGATGATGACACTTTGCCTTAATGGATATTTAAAATATTCTGAGTTCATGCTTTTGTGTCATGTGTCACTTTGGTTGGTCTTGTTCTTGGTTTGGTGTCAGAATCCTGACACTCATGTGCATTGTCTTGTCCAGGGGTGTATAAAACTGTTTTTGGAGGGCCAACATCCTGAAGATTTTAGCTCCAACCAGCTCAAACACACTTGCCTAGAAGTTTTTTAGTGAGTCTGAAGACAGTGATGAGCTGTTTCATGTGGTTTAACCAGGGTTGGAGCTAAACTCTGCAGGACAGTGGTCCTCCAGGAACAGGTTTGGACACCCCTGGTCTTGTCCTTGTGGGGGTATGCGGTTTCTGGGATTGTTCTCTAGGCCACTGGTTCTCAATTCCAGTCCTAAGGAATCGCTACTCTGCATATGTTGCATGTCTCCCTTATTTAACCTGATTCAGATCATCAGCTCGTTAGGAGAGAGCTCCATGAACTAACCTGAATGTGTCCGATAAGAGAGAGATACAAAATGTGCAGAGCATTGGATCCCAAGGACTGGAGTTGAGAACCACTGATCTAGGCTGTGTGCTGTTCTAAATTGTGTGTTCATTAGTGATGATGGGTCTTTTCGAAGCACTGCTTCATGAAGTTTCAAAACGTTTGCAAATCATTCGTTTCAAACCAGTGGTTCAAAGCGTGCATCAAACAGCCAAAGTCATGTGATCTCAGTAAATGAGATTTCGTTATATCACAAATGTTTCGAAATTCCAATAGTTGGCTGTTGTGGGGCGATTTCTGTAACCAATTAATTACTGAGATCACCCCCCAGCAGTGAACCTTTGAACCAGCTTGATTAGCTGGATCAAATGTGCTTGATTAGGGTTGGAGCAAAACTGTGCAGAGCTGTGGCCCTTCAGGAATTGAGTTTGAGACCAATGGTCTATGGTTTTTACCTGATCTTAGATCCCCTGCAAATTAACACTTTAAACAACTAAAGAACACATTATATAGACGCTTTATATTTAATTTATTTGATGATTTGTTAGTTGCATTTAATATACTTTCAATAACAATAAAATATTTGCAATGGCTTGTAAAGGCTGATTTAATGCATGTTTTGGCCTGAGATTTTGTTGCATTTACTTCGTTTTGACCAGCAGGTGTCACCAGCATGTGGTTTCGAGAAAATATATTTCTGAAAAAATAAATAAATAAATAAAAACGTGATATGATATTTTTGCCATATCGCCCACCCCTAAGGCTGATGTACTTTTCCAGGGTCCAGCAGGGATCACCACGGGGCATGATGAAGTGGATATCTTCGCCCAGCTCACAATTAAATCCCTTCATCAAGGAGATATGGTTGCAGGTGGCACAGAGGCTAATGTCGATGAACTCCTCCACATACTTTTCCAGATTTCTGCCTCCTTGAAAAATAAAAACTGTAGTTCCCTCCAAAAGTCTATTGCTCCTCATTGGGGCAATTGTTGATGGACGAAATGTCCATGAATTTATGCCTTGGTCTGGTCATCTGTCACGCACAGTTGCAGAGAGCACACAATGAAGAAGAAGATCAGGTTCAAAAGTCTTTAATAATCCACATAAAGGTTAATCCAAAGAAGGCCGGCAAACAAAACACAACCGCAACATATAGACACTGATGTCTACACTGACTTGACTGGACCAAAGTGAAGTGAAAACACAATAACTTAAATACTAAGGCAAATGAGGGTAACTAATGGCACACAGCTCGACAGAATAAAGAAATCAAATCAGTGACTATGGTGACAAATAACTAACTCAGGCAAGCAAGACTACAACAGTGAGAGAAAATTCAAAACCAAACATAACTGTGACATTACGTGTGTTTCATGTTTTATCTTCACTGGATCTTTGCAAATCTTTCTTCCTGAGCTGGTCTCTAAAGGTCTTGCAGAAGATAAAGTATATTAGAGGATCAAAACAGACATTTAGCACTGAAAGCAGGATAGTCAGCTCCTTCAGGGTGTTAAATGTACAGTCACTGCTGAACACGTAAGGCAGTCTCACCAGGTGATAGGGCACAAAGCACACACAGAAAACTACCACTAGAACTAGCATGTTGCGCTTAGACTTGTTAAACTTATGGTGGCTGGATACAGTCTGCGTTGACAGCTGGGCTTGTAGGATCTTTTGCAGAGTCTTCCAGTAAAGAAAAACCAGAGACATTAGCACAAACGCAAAGACTGCAAAGGACACGCAGTGGATGATTTTGTAGACCACACTGAGCTTGTGACTGTGCAGGGACTCACAGCTAAGTTTCTGATCATGATCCCAGGAAGTCTGAAGAAAGAGGATCAAGTAGACGGAAGACATGGCTAACAAGGAAAGCCAAGTTCCTATGGAAATGTGGCGGGCGGTACGAACCATCTGCAGAGCATGAGTCTCCAACGGCCGGACAATCTTCAGGTACCTGAGATGATAGAAGGTATTCAGAATGCCGACAAAATCAATTTACATTGCACTGTGAAATTCATTTACAGTGTACATACAGAGGCTTGGAAAAATGTTTTGGGTGGTTGTGGTATTATTGGCCAGTTCTGTACTTTCTCTTCCTTTTTTTTCACTTCTAATCCATATCCAATTCTTTTGTGGAGGAATGTATTCGAATGTTTCTATCAGTGTTTTTAAAAAGAGGTAATTATGGAAATGTAACGAAATAGCTTATTTATTTTTGGGTAAACTATTTCTTCTGTCCTAAATGTAAAGTGGCCAACGATTTTCTGGTTCATGTCCACTCTTTAATGTATTTTGGGATTCATTCATCACCACTCATTCTTCATTCACCATATGAAATCTGATCACTTAGACGAGAACTAGCACACCTCTCCTCAGTCTTCACAATTTGAGGGATTATTTATGTCTGGTGTACAAACAGTGCAGAACATAACATAATGTATTATTTGGGTTATGGTTTTTATAGTAGTAATAGTGACCATAGCAAGTTTAACTTACAATGATAATATCATATCTACTAAACCATATGAAAATAATAACATTGTTTTGTACTGTAAATGGAGGTGTTAGCTTGAGTAGCATACCTGTTTGCAGCAATAATGTCCATGAAGAGAATGCTTGCATACATGTTTAGATAGAATGCTGTTGCTCCAAAGCTGCAGTACATGTTGCGTATTGTTATGGAATAGGTAGCATTGTGAGCAATGCGCAAAGGTAAACAAAGACAAAGGAAGAAGTCAGCTGCCGCCAGGTTCTTCATGTAGACCGTGACGCTGGACTGAACACGCTGATTGGAACAGAAATAAACCCGCATTGTGATGCAGTTAAGCACCAGACTGACGAGAAACACTAGTGAGTATGCAAATATGAAAGCAGGGTGGGCTGAGACCTCTGTAGGTCCACAGGGAGCTTGAGTTATGTTGGTCATGTTTGGTTTAAATGTATCCCTTGGGAAAGTGGTGAAGATGGTTGCAGACACTGTAGACTCCATCTAGATAACCAAGAGAAAGAGATAACATTTATTCAGATTTTTATATATATATATATATATATAAATATAAAAATTTCTCAAAATATTTAAAAATGTTTGCAGCATGGATTAAAAACGCTACTCCTTAAAGCGTTTTGAGAGAAAAAAAACCCAGCCTAAATTAGTAGGCTGTAGGCCTACGTCGCATTTTATTATTACATTCAGAAATAATGCAAGCTAAAATACCGGTAAATAAAGCAACATATTTACAAACATTACAAACACAATTAGGCTATTTTAGTTCCCTTCTCTCCAAAACAAATCCTCTAAATGTGTAAGCCAAAACTAATTAATTTAAAAGCGAAACTGAAGCCTACCTCTCTCATTCTGCACGAATCCAAATGTTTCCATATTCACGATGTATCTGGATGCTAAAATATTATTTAGCCTATTCCTATGTAAACTATAGGCTTTGTTCTTTACTCGCATTTTCGACGTAAAACATCATCCTTCACATAACAGCACAGTGAGGCGGTGGTCACGCTGAATGGCACAGACTATACTACGAACGTTTTTAATTGAGCAGTGTGACTTTTTATGTTTCTTTAACTGTATTTTATTTTGATAATGAACAGGCTTCGAAATAAAAATATGTTGTATATGCGTGTGATTCGCCGAGGTGATTTAAAACTTTAAAGCTTTTGCAAAATAAAGAAAACGGCTTACTGCCATCTTGGTTTCCTTTCCATGAACTTAGGAGGACGTTACAATGATCCAAACTCAATTTTTTTCTTTTGTTTTGTTAATCTGTTAACGATTTAAGTGAAAAATATTTTGTGTATAGGCCTATTTAGTCCTTTTTATGTAGCCTATATAGTTTTATTCTGTTTTCTCCATTCACAGAAACGCTGCAGGTGCGTGATGTGAGCTTTTGTGAATCCGTGTTCTACACTATCCTGCCATTTTTGCTGGTTTCAAACACACAAAAAGCTGCATATTACCTGCCATCCATTTTCACTTAAATGTAGGCCTAATGCTTGGTGGTTCGTGACTTATCCTCGAGTAAACTAACGCCGGGAAATTGCCATTGTGACTTACCTATGATGAACTTAAAGCTGAGTGCGGGCATTTCACTCGTTAGATGCGTCAGCGTCACATTTGCATAGGCCGTACTATGCTGTCTGACAAACTATATTTTGTACAGATTTAATTTTGTTTTGGCAAGTATTTAATTATTTTGCCCAGAGAAAACCGTTGGATTATGCAACAGACATGCAACTCATTGTCTCCATGCAGTTAATTAATAAATCATCGCTATCTGCCATTTTCATGCTATTTCCAATATGCCGATGGCTTTAAAATAATTAAAAATCAGCCGATAAATATCGGCAGCCAATACATCGGTGCATCCCTATATTATATATATATATTATTTGAAAATATTAACTGTGATATACAGTATATAGTGTATCTGCAAACAATTTTGTCTAAAACTTGGGAGGCACTTGGAAAACTTATGTCCAAGTGCCTTTCTAAGTAATGACAGCCTATCACCATTGATCCTTGCTGAATTAGTGTTTTGTCACCAGCGTATGCGTCATTGCTAGCACCAGCACTCTGTGCTTTACGGCTTGATCCCTCAACTTGTTTGTAGGCTGAGATTTATGTGGTAACTTACATGTTAATTTAATTACAGTTTATTAAACACATTTGTTTGTGTGTTTTGTGGCATTGTTCTTAGTGTGTTTACAGTGTGTATGAAGTCTGAGAACATCTTGTGTGCTATTTTGTTTGTTTTGTTCTTTCAATTTAATTTGTCTGTATGTTTTCTGTTTAATTTATTGCTTTTTTTTTTTTTTTTCACCCTGATGGGCTCCCTGGAACAAGTAAAACAGCAATCACCTCATGCTGTGCCAAATGTGCACTACCAGGAACTCTTTGGACAGCATAGCCCTGCTCCTTTCAATTAGTCTAGATCTGTTGAGGTCCCTAATTTTGTTATAAAGGCATTGCAACATTGCCATCAAATTGATAACCAGTACAGCATCCAGCTAGGCTCAGACTGTAAAGATTAAAGCCATATCGCATCTCATGTGGCATAATGAAATTTGTAGTGGCAACTGGTTCTGAGCAGTGTAAAGGTTACGATACTATTTTAGCCTGGTGATTTGGGATACAAATTTGATCTCTCATGATATTCCCCTGTTAGGCAGTGCTACAGGCGGATTCCTCCATCAAAGCATGAGGTTGTGAAGCCTCATATTAACCAGCTGTTGGAGACCAGCAGTGTAAGTGAGAGTTGTAGCCTTTATGCTTCTCTCACTGTTCATGTTAAAAGGAAGTATGGTTGTTTGCACATGCACTTTGACTTCCGTCAGTTAAATGCAAAGACAAATTGATATAATTGGACTTCTTGACAGGGGCCTGTTGGGTTTTCCACCATTGACTTGGCTAGTAGATATCATCAGGTCCCTGTCACTGAAAGAAATAGGCATAACACTGCTTTTTGCGCCCCTTTTGGGTTGTTTGTGTGTACACGAATGCCATTTGGGCTCTGCAATGCCCCAAATATCTTCCACCATTTAATGGAACAGTTGTTTGGAAACCAGCAGTGCAGGTCTCTACTCATAAATATATAGACTGTTTTGCTGTTGCATCAGCTGTTGTATCAGTGGTACTCGTCTGTGCAGACTTCTCCCTGCCCTTTATCCTGGAGGCGGATGCCAGTCATGGTGGTCTAAGAGCAGTTCTTTGCCAGGAACAAGGAAGTAAGGCGCAACCCATTGCTTTTGCTAGTCGCAGTCTTTGGCCTACTAAGCCCAACTATATCTCCATGAATTTGGAGTTTTTAGTGCTCAAGTGGTGCATGACTGAGAAAATTAGAGAGTTCCTGTTAGGGTACAAGTGTGTTGTCCTTACGGACAATAACCCTCTCAGTCAAGCCACTGAGCAGCAAAGGGCTGCCCAGAATCGGTTGGGCAGGAGTGAAAAAATGTGGATGCACTTTCAAGGCAGGACTCCTCTGGCCACTGTGAGGTAAGAGGATTGTTGCCCGGGATGGAGGTTCCAGCTGCTATGAAGCACTGGGGGCAGATACAGTCACACAGGCAAATCAAGCTGTAAGCTTATTTTAATGCTGGTCAACATTCTAATTAGGGCTGCACGATTAATCGAATGCGATTGTCATGCGCATTTTTGCATGATTTTTGCCCAGATTTTCCGCCGATTTACGGTCTGGAGAAGTTGACGTTAGGAAGTTAGGGCCAGTCTGCAGATTTGAGTTGACAGATTCCATAGAAAATTGCGTAGTGTATGATGGTCACAGACTCTGATTTTTTAGCTTCAGACTCTGATTACACCCAGAGTATCAAACATGTTTGATATTTTCAGCCGATTTTAGAACAAATATTGTTTTCATTTGTCTCCTAGCAACAAGGCATACGTGTCTGTGTGAGTTTGATGTTATCGGAATGACTAGTATATCATCCTCAGTCATGTAGCGTATGATGGCCAGTTTTCCTTTGTCACTATTTACAAAGTTGGCAAGTGTATGATGCCTAGTGTTTTAAAAATCTGTTCAGATTTGAAAAGTCATGTAGAGTATTCCAGCCTTAATTACCCTTCCTTGTAATCATGGTCATTATGTGAGTGCAATGAGTGACAGCACTCGATCCCTGCTTATTTATGGCTGGGTTTATGGCACTCTGTATGCATTTCCACTTAAGCTGGTGTCTGATCCTTGAGGCACCGCGGTTATGTGCAGGCTGTCTATTACCATTATCCCTCAACTGCTTATTTGGAGCCCATAATGTTTGCAGTAACTTATTCATTTAACTGCAGCTGGTCTCGTATCATTTGCATATTTGTGATTTAGGCTGCTGCTGTGCTGTTTCAAACCATTATTTGATACATACATTAATTGTTTTTCTAGTATCACGAGTTGGGTTTTGTGTTTGACTTTTAGTAGGTTGATTTGTTCAATGAGGCCATTTTGTCTCCATGGAGACGGGGTGATTACTTCTCACGTAAATGCTTTTAGGACAGCACTGATTTTTTGCTTTTTGTTTTCTTACCCTAACGTTAATGGCTGTGTAGGACAGTGACTTCTTTCGATCGGTTTATCGTCAAACATGCACAAATCTTTTTGCATTATTTTGTTTCTTTTTTGATATGGTAACTGGCTACTCTTTTTCTTTTCTTTTCTTTTCTTTTCTTTTTTTTGGTGCCAGTTTTACGTTGACTACTCTGTAAACTCAATCAGTTGTCTCTTAGTTTTGTCATATTTTCTACACGTGAATTGGCAATTGTGGTGATAGCTCAAAAATGTGACCTCCATCTTTTGTGAACTCTCCTTATTTGAAGCTACTGGCTAATTAATATATATTTTTTGTTGTTGTTTATTTGAGCCATTGATCTAGCTGTCCTTGCCAACTGCTGGTGGTGTTTCCTGCACAGAGTTGCCGCTTGCAGCCACCTTTCTCAGTTTGTGCGTAGTCAGTGCGTGTGGTTTCAGGATGTATTCTACTTTTCAAACTCATGTACAAGTTTTACAATCCACCGTTATCTACTGTAATTCTAAACCACAAGGAGCAGAGATAAAATGCTCATAAATTACTTCAAAAAGGTTTTGCTTTGGTTTACTGATTATTGACATGTGTTTTTATACAATTGACTATGTCATAATACAACATGTTTTAACCCTATGAACTTGATGAATACAATCATAATTGTATACAGTAAGCAATAGAAAAGTCACTAATAAACTAATCTCATAAGTCCAAAGAACCTTCTGCTTAACACTTAACAGCGTAAGTCATTAAAGAAGATATAGCAATATTTCATATGCGTCCCCTTTTAAAAATTATACATAATAATTTGCTGTAAATCTAACTTACTTGTAACAAAGCTATCCACTGAACTTGTAGAGGTCTGTCCTTCAGTCACTTCAGATTCTTTCAGTAGGCTCATGCAAGAAAAAAAGTAGAATACAAACTAATATAAGGAAATGCAAAAGCAGGTTGTTGGTGATGTAAGAGGGGGAGGTATTTTGTGGTAAAAGAAAAAAAAGATGTGTGTTGGTTATATGAATAGCTGTTCAACAATATATAATGATATAAATGTAATAGTAATAAAAATTTGTATACAGCACATTTATAGCAAGGTTCTCAATATGCTTACACAGAAAACAAGGAAACAAATAATAAACAAATAATAATGAATTAAAAATCAAATAAAAACTATCCTGAAAAAAAGTCTTAAGACTAGATTTAAATATACTATTAGTATGTATTTCTCTAATGTCAGCTGGTAGCACATTCCACAGTCTGGGGCAAGAAGCGCAAAAGCCAACTAAATTGTGCAAATATCATGTTTTGTTGTTTAAGGTGTTTAAGCTTAGATATAAAAAGCATCCAATGCCTTGTGAAGCTGATAAGGCAAGCCAATGGCTATGATCTTTTTACACAGAGGAAATTAAGACACATTCATGTTTTTACTGTTGCAAATGTACTATAAATAATGTTTTACTTTAATTACAACACTGCAGCACATCATTTCAATCCTTACTCCTTGTGTGAAAATAGCCCCTGGTATTACAACATGTGATCGCAAAAAGTCAGTGTGTTCATTTCCTGGCACATGACTATATATGACCCTGGAGCACAAAACCAGTCTTAAGTCGCTGGGGTATATTTGTAGCAATAGTCAAAAAAACATTTTATGGGTCAAAATTATTGATTTTTCTTTTATGCCAAAAATCATTAGGATATTAAGTAAAGATCATGTTCCATGAAGATATTTTGTAAATTTCCTACTGTAAATATATTAAAACTTAATTTTTGATTAGTAATATGCATTGCTAAGAACTTCATTTGGACAACTTTAAAGATGATTTTCTCAATATTTTGATTTTTTTGCACCCTCAGATTCCAGATTTTCAAATAGTTGTATCTCAGCCAAATATTGTTCTATCCTAACAAACCATACATCAATTGAAAGCTTATTTATTCAGCTTTTCAGCAGATTATGTATAAATCTCAATTTCGAAAAATGTACCCTTATGATTGATTTTGTGGTCCAGGGTCACATATGAAGTGATTTTAAAATGGCATATCACCAATTCTGTCTATTTATATATTTGTCATTGCTTATGTGCAATTTTAAGTTTGACAGTCTTGGTTGACATTTGGCCTGCAAGTTGACTTGTTTGTGTGATCATCTTCTTATGCAGTTGGGGTTTTGTTGCAAGTGGTTTCAAATGCAGACATCTATTTTTGTATTTAACTAATTGCCAAGCCACAGTTCTCTTGTCCTTCTCTCTGTGTGCACAGATCACTGAAACTCAGTACTGCTGAACTCCTGTTCTCCCTCTGAACTTAAGATATAATTTGCATCAGTGACTCTAAAACAGAAATGCTGCTTTTAAAGGGTTTGAGTGATTAATAAATAACGTCATTTGAATAGGGTGGTTTTATATGCATCTGCTTTATGTTTATCAAAATAGAGTACGGTTCTATGTAATATATGATTTTTTTTAAGCAAATAGTTTTTTTAAACCAACAATAAATATCTCTTTTGAAAAACCAAGGGAACAAATTAATACAGAAGCTAAAAGATCTTTAAATGGAAGCAATAATAAACTTGAGAGAGGGCAATGCCAAAATAGCAAACAAATGCCAAATAATCTGTGCATAATATGAACAGTGAACAAAATGCAATACTAACTCCCTCTCTAGACCAAAAAAAAAAAAAATCTATATAAATATATACCACAAATATATATTTTTTGCATTCCTATTGATAACGGCAGTCAGAAGAGAGAACAATATCAAATTTACCATCACTCCCATAGATGATGCATTAGAAACACCCTCGCATTTGCGTTAACTATTTTTTATTTTTTATTTTTTTATTTGATGCAAAGGTAATAAAATACAAGGTACAGTGTTATAAATGTACATACATTTTTAAAAAACAAAAAAACTTTTGAGGATTTACGATGCTGATGACCTGATGCAGTGCAATTCTATTTCGATTCGATTCAACACAATGCGATTCAATGCAATACGATGCAATGGGGAAAAAATATGATGCTATGCAATTCAATATAGTATACATATTAGGGATGTGCCCGAATCTGAATACAGGAAATGTGTTCTACGGAACCCCTAAAGGGAATAAATACATGATGGGAGGAACAAATATATTTCAATGCTATATATCGCAATTTTATCATTGGGTAATTATACTCCATATAAATTGTGGGCATCAGGGAGCTGCTATTAATCACATGTACTCTGTGTATACTACAGAGTGGCAGTACTTAGAACACAATTTATAAGATTAGATGTTTGTCAGTGGTGCTCAGGATCTGCAAATAATTCACCATCGTCCTGTCATCACTCCTTACTCTGTTTATGTGGTAAGTGAAATTGTACTGTAAAGTAACAGGCTACCGCTAGCAAGCGGCTAACCATGTCTCTTTAGTGGCTCTGTAGGACGCGTTATTCGTTTTCTGTGCCTTTCCGAATACGGATTCACTATTTGGGCATAAGAGTGAGTCAGTATTAAGAGATAATGTGTGAACAGGACATTTTGAAAAATACCTGTAAATTTGTTCCGGCAATTTACCGGTATGAGAAGTTGTAACATTACCAGTAAATTACCGGTAATCTGCTCTGTGTGAACACAGAATGAAGATTACTTGTATGAGCACGTACGAGTTCAGAACACGTGGACGTTAGACGTCTACTCTGGGCCAATCAAGAGCCATTGAAATTCAAAATTCAACAGCTCTGGGCCAATCATAACATTCTGACGCAGATGACACAGTGCTGTTCTGTTTGATATTGCAGTGTCTCTGGACCAAAAGTAGCTGCATGAATGTGAACGTTTGATACCAAAATGAAAACATCCACAAAAACACTGACCTCATATACCCCTCCATGTTTACAAACACAACACCAGGAGGCGCAGCCGTTTAGAGGTCATTTCTGATTAATGATGTCACAGAATTTACCGGTAATTTGAAATCAATGTAATTTCAATGTTTGAAACCAAAATATTGGTCAGAAATTATTGTATAGTAAAAGTATAGTGCATCTACTAATAATTAATATTATAATTCAAATTATTATTATTATTATTATTTTTT